GTGCTAGGCGTATCGACTCCGACGCCTTGTCGATTTATCGTGCCGCCTGCCTTTATATGGACAGATTCTTTACAGAATGTTTCTACCCTTCGCTATGCCCAGCGGGTTTCCAAAGAGCTATGATAAGCTATCTATTTTTCACAAATTTGCTGAACGACTTGAACTTCTGACCTCGGCATTCCACGGGATATCCAATCCTTCACAAAAGACTCGACAGTCATTCGACTGTCTGGCAAGCCTTTTCCAGGGAACATAGGGGAATGATGCTCAGTGACTGTTGGGCGAGTAGAATGTAGGCGATGAGTATGCAGGATGACCAAATCCGTCACGCTGAAAAATTGCGAAACCTTGACTATTTTCAAAATAATTGTTGCCAATTTATACTAAAAAACTGACATCAGCTTTGAAATCAGGGCACACCGTACGTTGGGATTACCAGCGAGCAAGTGATATTTGAAAGAAAATGCTGTCAGTTGTTAACTTTTCTCAGTTGATCCCGCTCAAAATGCACTATGTTTCATGTGCGCTATTCCCTCCTCCGCCCTTGCTCGACGGCGTTTGAGGAACTGTAAAATTTTTAGAAAATCCCGAAAAAAGGGGCAAGAAGTTTGAAGAATTCAGGAGGATGGTAGATAGGATGACAGGAAAACGGTTGAACTCTTGGTGCACCATCTAAATTCTTCAAGTTACGACCACCTTCTACTGATGTGCCCCCCCCCCTTAGAGAATAACCATATTGTGATCGATCGATATTGTGCCTCAACTAATCATTACTCACTTTCTAATCAGGTCGACGTTGTAGCGACCGCTGAAGCTGCTCATTGGATTCGCCGCTAGGAACACGCTGAAACCCTGAAATAGAAACGATCTCGGAGACGTGGAAAATGCAGTGTCAATAGGACCCCATATTCAATATTCATCGTGCAAGTGAGTGGCGGACGTATGATCCTCGTTCGGAAGAGAGCCAACAGTGGGGGGGGATGGCTGAAAAACTACAAAAAAGTCAAAAGGTTATCTCTCGGGTGACCAAATGGAACGCGTCTTCCCCATTCCCAGACCACTGATACATCGTATGCAGTCGTTTTCGCTGCAGACGCTACAGGGGAGCTGGGTTCGGGGCTAGGCGGGCGATCCTCCAGCAGTTTTGAGACGGTCAAGCGACAACTATTGGTGGGGGCTGGAGCGGCGCCAAACTCGCTCCGACCAGCAAGCCTTGGGGTCTGCTGCGGAAACGACTACATGTACACCGACAGGAACGCTTGGCTGAATTCAGACAAGGCATAATTTTTCGTTAATGAATAACTAGCACCTGATGGTTAGCCCCAAATCGTGTCCTTCAATTGCCTTTTTGCTGAACTTCAGGAGCGCTCAAACTTATCCAGAGCGAGAATCATTTTGTAGAATCGAGCTGTTGAATCGAGGTTTTACTCTTCGGTACTTGTAACTGCGGAACTCCCCTTATTTCAGCCAGTAGAGGCCTTTTAGGGATTACGTTGATGAGATGCAGTGGGCGTACTGTGGGAGTAATACTATCACATAATACTGACAGGTGAAGGATTCGTGGGTTAATTATAGCTCGCAGCTTATCCTCTTTAAAGAGAAGGGCTGATCATACCCTGTGACGAACACTTCCCAATTAGGCAAATTGTCGGCTCGGTGACTAAATACCTTTTCCCCGCTCTTCTTTCTTGTCTCGAAAGGGTCTCAAAGACGGACCACAAACTGAGCTTGGCAGGACATGGTATTGAAAACTGCTGAAAATCAATACTGGCCCACTTTCGGTAGAGCAGTCCTCAAACCAAGAAGAAATTGTGAAAGAAGAGTGGGATCGATGACCGCGTCCAAAGCTTCTTGTGTCCATGAGATTTCGACGCCAGATGCGTTCAGTGAAGCGACAACCTGCAGATATCACTGATTTGGAGACAGAAACTTTCGAGAATGTTTATTTTTATCTCATTTTACTCCAGCACTAGACTAGGGATCACTAGCTCTCAAACTCTCAAAACTCACCCCCATAATGTTGCTGATCAGAAGTTTGCGCTTTATTGGCGATCCGAGTGCCATTCGCCAGATGTCGTTTGTTTGGCCTGCACCAATCGAGAGAATAACCTGAAATGTGGCTCTATAATAGCGAACTTTCAGTGACTTTAACGCTGCTGGAAAGCTGAAGAATGACTAGAAAATGAAGAAAGCCTAACGTCTCACTTTTGCAGGTTTTTCCTCTGAATGTTGCATCAATTGGTTAATGCGGGAGACGAGATTCGGGACTGATGGCGATACCTCGACGACATCGTTCAGCTGAATTGTCCTCATTTGCGATGCGGAAATAACCAGTGTAGGCAGTGTATTACCTTAATGTCAATGGATCCAAGGACGAAATGACTGCACCAGTGAGGGAGAAGTGAGCGGGGATCAAATTCGTCAGCTTCTTCGTTCAGATAGCACAAACGGGTGCATTGGACTGGCGGACGTCGCTGATACTCCCTCACTCGACATTTCAGCATCTATAAAGAGGCACTGCAGGAAAAGATACTCATCTGAAAGTACCTTGGTGCGTGCAAGACTGTTCATTGATTTATGGGGGTCAGGTGCGGTCTATAGCTAGCTATAGGTACGGTCGATATCGCTGAAGTGAAGCAGGGCGTGTCAGCGAGTGCATTTTTGGGGCGACGCTAGCTCCTTTCCCACCATGCACTGAATGCCCTAAGCTGAACCGATCAATTTAAATAAGACAGCGAGGGTAGCAAAACCCAGGAGCCGCTGACACGCCCCGACTTATTTCGGTTGACAAATAATTGTAGGTAGCTAGCAGTCCATATGCGTGGGGGGTGCCCACATGCCAAGCGATTCACGACATCCGTTGACCACGGAGCCAATATTGAACCTTTCTGACCCTTACCGATTGGCCCTGCCTAGGAGTTCAAGATCATTTTTCTGCTGCGCGAAATTATTTGGACCTTTTATGTATTATATCATATATTGTTCTGCCACCACAAATTTCCCAACTTTCGCTTTATGACTTCGTTACTGAAGAGTACTAGGCAGAAACAGGCAAAGGCAACTGTGGAATTATGAGAAGCCCACTCACACGTCCAAAGTAAAGTCTTCAAAAACAGGCCCAGCGCTGTTCGAGGAGAACCAAGTTATTTACAAAGATGGGGCAAACCTGGCCGATCATGGTGTGAGATGGATGCGGGCCTGCGCCACATTTCCCTTTCGGATCGTCGAATTGTAGTGACGAGATACCAACTCCACCGAGCCCTTCTTGAGTAATCCATTGGATCTGAAATTTCATTGAGAGAAGCCTGTTTTTCGTCATTAGGTTCTGAATGACTGTGTTAGCTTCAGAACCTTCTTTCCAGTGACTGCTCTTTTGGGCGAGTTAGCCCTAACCATCTAAATTCTACTTCCTCGATCACGGTGCCACGCGGAGCGTCTGTGCAGTCCAGTGGTGAGGGGTCCCTGTAACAGAAAAATGTATGTGAAGCTGTGCGCGCGATGCTAGAGTGCTTTGGTTCTCCTTTTTTATATTTTGATGTGTTTTCAGACGAAATTAGTACGAGAGACGGCGATAAGTGCAAATGTCGTGCAGGAGTCTGACGCGAACTCGCTGTCGTTGCAGTTGGCGATATCGCCGATGTGTGGTAGGTTCTGGATGACGTACGCTAAGAGCATGTTTGTAGGTCAGGTTGGCACTGGTTCGACTGAATAACCTGTCCATAAGTTTCGCTGGAGGAATTCGGCGACGGTGAGTGGCATTGTGTGCGACTTTTCAGTACTCCCATCGGGACGTGTCGCGACGCGCATCTGAGAGCGTTACTTGGCGAGTTGGGCTTACGAAAGGCGTAACAGTTTAAGTGGTGGCTCTACGAACCTGATCCAGGCTCACAAAAGTTCACAGGTATCAACAGAAAAAAGAAATGTAAATCGGATCTGGTGGAGCAGCGGAAGTACAAAATGCCTCCCCCCCTTCGTCGCCGAACTGTATCATTTCCTTCCCCATCAGTTGTCATTGCTCCTGGGCGCATGTGGACAAGTAATAGTCATGATCCCTCCAAGCGATAGGCAAGGGGCGTCAAAGTGGAGCGTGGCTAGATCAGCCTTTTCAGCTAACTGTTATAGAAACCAGATGGCAGGCATCATCAATGGAAAGGTCCTTTTGGCCCGCTGCAGTCGAGACTGCGCGTCCCATGGACCACTGAAGAGAATCTTGACTTTCCTTAATATTTACCAGGGGAGGATAAAGGGTTTCCAGGGGATGCCTACCCAGGTCCAGTATGAAGTGTGGGAGTAAGGCTACTCGGGAATGTGCGTACCACGTCGTTCAACGTTTATCCAGTTAGCCTCATTTCTTGCCAATTCATTCTTGTCATTTGATTCAATTATTTCACACACAAAGCAGCTTCACGCCCGAAATTGCTTCTGAGTACAAAAATCCGCAGCGAGCAAGAACTGTACCAGCAATTGAACTACGGGTCAAAGGTTCAGTGGCCAAAGCCACTCGCTACTACACCACAGCTATAGCCACGATTAGGAGTACTTAGCACGGGTAATAGCCGCCTTCAGCAGCTATTTTATATGTCCTGTCGTTGAGGGAATGAGGACGATCTGAGGAGAATCTTCAATCGTTCCAAGATCTGCTCATTTAAAGTCTAGCGAGAACGGCATCTTTGAGCCTACGTCATCGAAATTTTGCCCCCCACTCAGTGCCTGTCCGACCGTTACTGGGCAAGCTGACCTTCCACCCTGAAAAGCAGGCGCCTATAGCGGCTCGAAAAGTGCGCTAAGCAACGGCACACAAGTTTATTGTTAGCCATGACGCGCCTAGTAGCAATACAAGTTTCTCGTGTCGCTGGATAAGACCGTGCTGCCCAGTATCGCCCGTCATTTTTGTTTTATCTCCCAGGCTCATCACTGAATCGTAGCCTTCACATCTTGCAGCTAATCCTGAACAACTTGCACTCATTCGCTGCTCATTATTAATTGCAAGAAGGCTGGAAGGCGAACTTTGTTCTGGTCAGTTTTTTATTTCATTTGGTTTCTCCCTAGTTAGTCAGCCGACACCGGTAGTATTTCTCATGCTTAAGAACGGCTAATGCCGTTTGGACTCCAAGAATTTCGGCACCGAGCTCATTTTTAAATTGCCTAAGTCACCAAATCTGCTAAAAATTGTATATAGGGGTAGTTTAACATCCTGATTAAGAATATGTCATTCGCTCTTGTCGCTGGCGCTAATGGATGACACTACGATTATCTGCGCTCTGCTAAGGCTGAGCCTAGGAGGTGATCCTAGTGTCCTCTCTTGACGCCAGCGACAAAAGTGAATGTCATATTCTTAATCAGGATGTTAAACTACCCCTATATACAAGTTTTTGGCGGATTTGGTGACTTAGGCAATTTACAAATGGGCTGGGGCTGCCGAAATTCTTTGGAGCCAACGGGCATTAGCCTCAAGCAACCAGATGCACACATTTGCGGAATTCCCTTCAGAAGTCTTGATCCGAGCGGAATCCGATTCGAGCGAACCTATCCCTTGCATAGATGAACATGTTTTCATAATATTTTTCCTCCAACACTGCGTCGTAAGATTAGCTAAACTATAATACATAATTCATGCAGTAAGTGACCAATTCAGGGCCAATTTGCCACCTGTCTCATGGGAAGAGAGTCACGCACTTTTAGGAATTCTCACGCGATTTTGGGCTAACAGCGTCTGTCGTGTCGTCTGAGTGCAAGACAGTTCTGTATAAATCGCATGTTCAGACTTGAAGCTTGCAATCGGTATAAATAAACACTTCTGTCAGCAGGGAATTTTAGAGCATGTCTGCTTCAAAGGGTGTCTAAATCAGTAAAAAAAAAACCTGCGTTTGCGAAAAAGAACTGGTGTTTATTGCGGAGTGAAAAAGATGTATAATGTTACCCAGTTCAGTGACACGCAGTTAGCTAGCAAGAAAATAAAGGAATAAACAAGCGCACATCGTTGTGGGATTCCCAACAGGGGGGTCGTATTTGGTCGCTTGGGAAAGGCGAGGGTCTTATTTCTTTTCTGACCCTATTTCTTTTCATGTGTAATATATACCCTTCCTCCCCCAACCCCAAGAAAGCCTGTCGGGTCGCGGGGTCGTATGGACTCGAAAAAATCACGTTGAACGTGTGAGTGCTGTAAGGCTATGGGCACAAATAGCCATTGAGCTGAGTGGTCAAAAGTGGCCTCGGTAGCGTAATAGGGAACGCAACTGCCCGGTAAGCAGAAGATGCGGGTTCGAATCCCGTCCGTGGTCCGACTTTTGCCCATAACTCAGCATTCTTGTGATCGAACAAAATCCCCAACCAATGACGTGTCCTGAGAAAAACAGTACTTGTGCTACAGTAGCGCTACAAAGCAATGCTGAGTCCAAAACCACCTAAGGCACGCACCTCAATGGCTCCTATTTTATGTTCGCAGCTTCTCACTTTCCTCCTCGTAATTTACTGAATGTAGATTACTGTTTGGCTCTTTTTAATATGCTTTACCACTGAATAGTGGAATAGTAAATGATAAAATCATATCTGCTTTCAATTTCTCGCTTCGCGATTTTCTTGGACTTCGAGGGCTTTGTACTCATGGCATGTGCTGCCGTTGGGGGAAATTTCTCTAAAATACGACCCTCGCCTCAAAATTTTCTCCACTCGTACGACACTCCCTTTCCACTTTCCCCGTCCTACCTGCCATCTTTCCAGACTCTCTCAACATATTCCTGAACGTTTTCTCCAATGCGAAAAAAAGCCCGTAATAGAATGTGGGGGAGAGGGAAGAGCGCAAAGACCAAGAACATACTTTTCCTAAACTCAAAACACCCCCCTCCGGATCTCAGGTTGCGAAATGTTTTTTTGCCCTGTCTGTACTGCACGTTTGATAAATAGCCCTTCATCACGGTCATAGTTGTGTAACAAATTACGTTGCGCTATGCCATGGCATCAACACGGAGCAATACGATGCCAAGCAAATGCAAATGAAGTATGCTGTTATTCTAAGCGCTACAATTAACTAGTGGCATCAGCATGATACGTTCTTATTATGATACCTCATGGTTCACTCTCGAATGATGAAAGTGTAGATGCCAGGCATTTACTTCCAATCAGAATAGTTGTGCTTCTCGGATGCAATTTAGCTTATAAGATGAGTTATCGAGTCCAGCTTGACGCATAAGCCATTAATCTGTATCAGGCGCGTTTGGTAGAAACTAACCTCCCACGGAGGAATGGAACATAGTTCAAGTATCACAATGAGGAAAGTTGGCTCGTAAGCACGAGCTCCCTGAAAAATGGATATCAATACAACCCGCGCCCATGATTCCTAAACGAGAAGAGAATGGAATAGCAATGCCAGAAATTCAAAGTAACACAGCTAGAGTTGTTTTTGCTTTTAGCTGCTCTGCGCGCTATTTCATTAGCTGGTACCTTGAAGCTTTACGAAAGGTTATAGCTTCCTTCTGAGACAACGTACATCTTGAAAAAAGACAAGAGCGATCCGCAAGCTCTTGGAAGCCCTACCCGAGAGTTACTAAACATAGTCTCAGGGGGTGCGCTTGTCTCCGCGGCGTATGGACAGAAGAATTGTAATTCGCAGCGCCTAGTGGCGTCGTCGTCTCCGCGCCGGCAAATGCCGATGGCCAAGTTATTAGGTTGGCGGGAAAGTTCTGTCATATATTTTTGAACCCAAAATATTTGCTAATTTTCTGAAAAGCGTTAACCGGTAATATGAGCACTTATACATCAAAGAATGGTCTTTCTATTGGTATCACTGGCTTGACTCCTGCCTCTCCTTATCGTGCAATATGAACAAGAATGTTATCCGCTACCTTTGGCACCGACCCCTCCAAGTGCTTCCTCAAACTCTTTCTTCTACCGCCCTGGCGCCAGCATGACAGCTGTCGACGCCGAAATAACGGAGCTGCACATGGACAATGTCTACAGTCATCTGACAATCTTCCACGACGCTGGCTCTTCAGAGCGGGAGGCTACGGTGCGAATGGCGAAGTGAAGATGTTTGGGAGTACTGTGATCTCAACTAACTATAAAGAAGCTGTCTCCTCGGTTAATCCGTACGCAAGGCAGCTACGAGATCTGAAGCGAATCGTCAAGCAGAGGGCAAAATCCATCGGCACAGTCCGTCTTCAACGTGCTGGTGCAGCACACCCCGTCAAAAGAAGTTCGAGCCGTACTTCATGCAATGGAGCTGGATGGCTCTCCCCTTGCAATGATGTAGTCCAGACATTGCTCTTTCTGGCTGCTAGTCAACTCCTGTATTCAACCGTTGCACAGCCGAGAAAACCTCCACGACTTGAGCCCAAGTCAAAGTTGAGATGATGTCCAACATTGCGTCGTGCCAGCCTCCATTGTGAAGCGATGGCATCCACGAAAGTGCTCGAAAAACTGGCAGGGATTCCGCAATGACATTGCTGTATAATTTTGATCTTGTACGCCTCTCTATAAAAAGAAAGCCTTGTTTGAAAAAATGTGACAGAACTTTCCCGCCAACCTAATAGATAGACAACCAGGCACTCAGAACCGAAAATAATCATGAATGTCTACGACGATGGAGTCTACATGAAGTCCGGTGCTCCAATCGACAGGTTAACACGAGTTAAAGAAAACGCGCGTGCTATCGATCGCGGCGGAACGGCATCCTCTTGTTCCCTTACGATTCTCTTGCCCATCTCCCATAATTTTTAGAGCATAAGACCCAGGGAAGCAAAAATCGGGCTGAAAAGTAGAAGGTCCCCTTTCAAAACAGTTCGCGATCGTTTATGGAAGTCCATTATTCAAGAAAAACCCGTTGAGGTTTTTCCCCTACAACGAGGAAGCTATCGTCTGCTTTTTGAAAGACATTGCTTCTTTCACTCATAATTTTTGGGAGGAGTGGTTCCTGCAAAAATAGGACCCACTAGGTTAGCGCTTCTTAATCTTATATTTCCTGTTACAGTTTTAATTAGACCCCAAAGAGTATAGGATAACAAGTTTCCTGCTTCCGCTAGTTTTCCTAGATTGTCATCCACAAGACCACCTAATTAGTTCCTCTCACAACCCCTGTCTCGCCTTCACTCTGGCGCAGCTTTGTTGACTAATGGCTACTCGGTACTCTCCTTCCTCTTTATTCAGCGTGACAACTCCGACCGACCCCCGCTAAGGATTCGTCAAGTGATGCTTGACTCTGGAGCGGAAGCCTTTGTTGGCCTTGGCGGAAGTTGATTCTTAATTTTATGACCCCGCTTGTGTGCCAGGGAAGTGGTGCTCCGCGCTAACACAATCCTCTCACTCTGCAACGTGCTTCGTTGAAAAATGAGGGGAGCACCTCACCACCAAATATATCATGACCAGCCGGCTCGCACGCGCTGACTCCGGCGCACCTCCATAGATAGTCGCCTAGCAGGGCGCTTACCTCGCCACACATTTCATTAGCCGCCTAGTATCAGCGCTCTTCTTTTTACTGAGAAGGTCTTGACCAATAGCATCATACCTGCTCCTTTCAACACTATTACGGTGTATGGAGTGGTGGTAAGGAGCGTTGATCAAGTGGACAGATGAGAGAAAAGCCGGGTATTAGTCGAGCATTTGATCGTACGAATGCACGAATGTTAGGTGGGCGCGACGGAGCCACACCCCGCCAAAGCCGGCGCCGTAAACATAGAGGTCCGAAGTGCCTGGAGTGCTCTGGAATCGCTTGAAGAATTTTTGAGGCTGGCCCCGCTCACCTTGACGCACGCTCCACACACAACAGCATTCTGTCGCCTTAAAGCGTCTTGCTTTGGAATGCACTCCCGCATTCAGCAGTGGAACGCGTTAAATGGCCCTCACTAAGGTTGTTGATGGAAGATAATTGTGGTAAGCGTGATTAAGTGAATTGATGCTGTTCATAACATCTCTGTAAACAAACCCCATGCATTTGGAATAGAGCTGGCTTAGCGGTCGTACATTACTGTGCAGCGAGGAATGAGTTCTTGGAATCATTGAGATCGTTATACTTGAGTCATATCGATCGCATTGTTGTTGTGAGCGGTGAAGCGGATTTCCCATGTTACCTTGTCACTTTTAGCTCCTATCACTTCCGTACCCGCCAATAATATTCCCGTCCCGTATCACTATCATATCACCCTGTATCGCCTCTCGGATCCGAGTTCCCACTGTTGCTGTAACCTGCGTTACGAATTTGATGACCCTTCCCTTCCGAAGCCGCTTATCGTATCTTATCTACTGTTATCACTTTCTGTCACCCGCCAATATGTTCCCGTCCCACACCCTATATCACCTCACGTATCTGAGGTCCCCACTGTTGCTGTAACCTGCGATACGAATTTGATGACCCTTCCGTTCCGAGGCTGCTTATCGTATCTTATCAACTGTTATCACTTTCTGTCGCCCGCCAATGATGTTCCCGTCCCACACCCTATATCACCTCTCGGATCCAAGGACCCACTGTTCCTGCGAGCCGCACTGTGAATTTGGTAGTCCTTCCCTTCTAATGCCCATTATCAGATCTTATCAGCTGATATCACATCCTGTCACCTACCAATAATGTTTTCGTCCCACCCCCTATTTCACTGCTCGGAACCAACGTCCCACTGCTGCTGTCACCCGCGTTATGAATATGGTGACCTCCCCTTCTAACGCCTCTTATCGTATCTTATCAGCTGATATCACTTCCTGTCACCCACCAATTGTGTTCCCGTCACACCGCCTACATCACTTCTTGAAATCAATGTCTCACTGTTACTGGGACCGGCGCTATGAATTTCGTGACACACAGACAGACGCACACACAAACATACACACACACACACTTACAGACATACTTAGCGGATTATATAGAGTAGGATAGAATCGATCCACTCGATGAAAACAACAAAATCTTCAGTCTGATATTTGGATCTCACCGCCAACAGACTGCCGTATCAAAACCTTAAAACTTGTCAAAAAATAAATGAATTAAACTGTAATTCAATCGATACAGCGTTGCCGTAGGGCTACGAAAATTGAAGACTTTCCGGAACATATCAAATACTAGCCCCTCTAAAAATAAAAAAAAATGCAAAATCGCTCTTGGTACCTAGCATTTAAAGCACAGCTGGGTAGCAAGGAATAAGCGGATTCAGGGTGCAGAGTAGTGAAAAGTCACAATAACGTGTACTACGTTCGTAGGTCACCACCCTTACGAGTAAATCAAATCTCTCATCTCTACGAACTCGGGGAAATGTCAATCTGGGGAGCGATTCCTCTCAATAGTGATCTGCTAAAATTTAATTGACCTTAGGGGAGCAGGGTCTCGACATTACTAGACCTCTTGGCACGATTTTGGCAGTGTGTAATGGAGGAATCCGTTTGAGTTTAAAAGTGCCTCTTATTTAGGTTTTGTTTACCCTTTGCTGCCTCACGTTTCGAATTTAGGCAAAATTTTGATTGGACGTCTTCGTCAGGTGCTACTTCTGCCCACAAACTTGTACACGCTGGTAGTTTGACCCTGTGAACACGAACATCGCGAAAGTCTGGTGCGAAAACTCCTGGAAAGCACTCGACGCCCCCACAGGAGACGGCTCCACATATCCTCTTAGGGGCCTGTAGCGCCAGCATCAAGCGTTTTCGTGCTCGAGGTACAGTCCAAACAACCAGCCTCATCGCCCAATACTCGGCCAGCGTGATATTTGTCGCTTTCAAAGGAACAAACCAGTAAGAAAGAGGATTCCAGCTTATTTTCCTCCCCGGTATGGTATTTGAGTGAACTGACACTTACTCTGTACGCTCGTCCTCCGCTGGTCAGTCCAACAACGATCTTCTCAGCTGGGACTCCGCTGCTTATCATTCTGAAAATATCACATCACAATTATTATAATAACTTTATCCTCTCACGGTCAGTGCTCATCTGGCACGGCTGCTTACTTATCTACTGATCCACTGATCGTATCTTCTAATGGAATCGAATCGGACGGCATGAGCGGATCGAGATGACTCACAGCGTAGGGGTCCTCTGACGACTGTAAATTTGGCTTATCTTATCTTATCCAATACATTTCAATGAGGGGGAAAAAGCTTTTCCTAGGGGCATTTTTGAAAAGAAGTCGACCTACCGGTAGCTCCTCCATATCGAGGTAGATGTGCTCAACATAGTCGGCGAACTCATGAATTCTGTTGATGACTCTCCACATCCATCGAGGTGAGATTGACAACGTCGTCAATGAGCTGACTGCCGAGGGAGTGATTGACAGGGCCTAATAAAGGCAATCAAGCTGGCAAGGACACTATGCAGAAGGAGAACAACCTACGGCAAGGAAGTGCTGAGAGCTGGTTGACTCCAGTGATGGTCCCTCCATACGAACGAACACACCATCGAAATGTCTGCAAGTTCAAAACTGAAATATCGATTGGAGCTGATCCATATCCAACGGTATTTTCATCAATACAATAAACATTTTGGAATCGTGATTCAGTTCTCTCTTGGCTAATGTGCCCTTTCTGTCATTTGTTGAATAACAAACTAAGAAAACCGGTCCTTCCGATACTATCACTTCCAGTGAGGATGGGCCATGGCTCCCTTGGTGAGAGATCAGAAAATACGCGCTATAATCCGTATGAATTTCATCATAGAAAATACATTCCACTCCTGTAGATCGAATCTCTTCAGTGCCTTATAGGCCATTGCGCTGTTCTGGACACCAACTCAGAGCGTAGATAGCGCCGATTCCCAAGGTAGCGGGCTTGATAGCCTTCTTTCCCAGTCGTCCAGCCTCACGCTTTTCTGGTTTTGTCTGAGAATGTGGGGAATTGGGTGGACTTCGGGAGACCGTCGTTTCGTCGACTCCCACAAAACAAGTTTTCCCTAGCCAGTTGACCCGACCCGCTGTAGCACTTCCACGCCACCCAACAAGGTCCTGGCATGAATACCGCGTACGCGACACTGCTCTTGCAGTGTGTCCCCATGAATCCTTTGGAAGAGGTCTTCTTGAATTTCCAAATTCTATCCCTCTT